TTGTTAGTTCTTTTATAACACAATTCCATATTTGAGTTCTTTGTTGTTGATCCAACACTGGCTACAGTTTGTCTGCAAGTGATTTTTAGGAAGAGTAAAGAGGTGGTTCAGGTTTGAGCAAGTTTGAGAATATCTTTCCTTTGTATTCCACATGGATGAGTCACAATCATTTTTACTCTAAACTTTACAAGTGCTTTTCTGTTCTGTGAAGATAATTTAGATTTTCAGTTCTGTAAAGGAAAACTCTGCTGCTAGATTGATTTTTATTAGTTCTAAGATATCTTGTATAATTAAGGTTAAAATACGAGAATTTTCCTTAGGCTCTCTGTCTATGACATGCTTACAATTATTAGGCTCAGTGCTTAGTATTGTGTAAGATTTCATTTGATCCTCATGGCACCCTATGATGTAAGTACCATTAACTTTATTCTCTAGATAAGGAAACAGTTTCCTCAGAGGATGGCTTAGAACATATAGCTAGTAAATGGCTAAGCTGGGATTTCTTGTTAGTGCAATTTTTCTCTGAAAACAATGTTTAAAACACAACTAAGACGTTTTGAAGGTTCTGGTAAGTATAGTGTTTCTTCCAAGGTGGTTTGTGGAACATGCATATAAGAATTACCTGGTAAGCATGTTAAAATGCAGAACCTTCCCCCAATTTTAGTGAAACTGAATTTTTGGTGATCCATCCATTTTAACAAATGTTCTAGGTATTTCTATGTACAGTTGGAATAGCTCTGAAGTAGGAGGTAAAAAAAGTATGTTTAAAGATAGACCATCTTGGCTGTGGCTGAGTTTCAATTATTCATGTTGTTGAAAGGAAGCATTGTCAAATGTTGAGAATAGTCACCTAGATGGGCTGGGCTACCAAATGGGAGATTTCCATTGCTTGAACAATAGATAATACTAACAAGTTAATTCTACATGCAGTAGAATTTTCCCAATTTCTCTAGAGGTTGGAGGACCCGTGAATGCCACATGTCACAAGCTCTGAGGACCAATCTCTTCACATGTAATAGTTGCCCCATCACACTCAGATACAACCACGAAATGCTAGTATTTCTATTTCCAGTGCAATAGAGACAGGGCTGGATGGGCAGATAGTTCAGATTACAATGCAATATTTGGTAACAGATATATACACCAGAGATTTCTAAGACCTTTGCATTACTCTGCTTTTGCAGATAAAGGCAAGGTTTGGGGAGGAAAGGATGCCAGAGGGACCCTGAAAGTCATATGATTAACAAAGAAAAGGGGGTGGGAAGCTTATTCTCATTCCCAAGCCAGCTCAATCATTATTCCAAAGTGATCTCTAATCAAAATCCAGCATATGGTTTTTATTAATTTGGGGCAATTCCCCTACCATCTAGTGCAATAAAAAAGGATGTTGATATCATAAAAGATTATAGCATCCCTTATCAGGCTAGCAAACACAAGTGTAAAACTCAAGATAATGAAATATAAGTTGAGTTCTTCATCCTTCCCTCCCTGGTTTTATTATTATTATTTTTATTGCTGTAAGTTCTGAGGGGAAGAGATTCAAAGTTGGGTTATGAATAAATTATAAATCAGATTCATTTCCAGCCCGAAGCTGAACTTAGGGCCCAAACTTTTCCTCAACAGCCTCATTAGGGAGAGAACCAAAGTTCTCTATTTAAGTTAAACTCTATTTGTAGAATGGTTCTCCCTTATTCAACAGGCTCATGCCACTTTCTCCAGACGACAGCTCAGGACCACAGTGACTGGTCACCCTCCTTTGAGTGCCTCCCCATGAACTTCAGGGGAGGCTGGCTATCAGAACTTCTTAGCTTTGCCAACACGAGCTTTTACAACATAGCCTCAAACTCTGACCCATTCGGATACAGACTGGGAAAGAGGGAGAGCTGGTAACACAGGAGGAGATGACACCCCACCTCTGGGGTTTGCTAATCCTTTATTGAGATCTGCTAGGAGGGAAGAAAAGGGAAGGACTCTAGCCAGGCGCTACATGAGATGTTTAAGCAGGTCCCTTGCTCATCTTCTCAAACATTCTGTGAGGCAGGAATTATTGTCATCACCTTTCAGATGAAGGTGGTACTGTGTCTTAGAGTTTTGAATGTCTACTCGAGGTTACACAATAAGTTGGTGTTGGAGCAGGGATTCTAGCTCAGGCCTCACTAACTGAGAAGAGTAGCCTTTCCTATTCATTGGTGCCTGCTAAGGTTTTCCTCCAGCCAATGTGTGAGGAGCCAGGGGGCAGGAGGGGAAGATGAAAGAAGACTTTCTGCTCCATATCATTGGCCACAGCTCTTGATGTAGCCAGATTTGGGGAACAGGACACCATGTTGTGCTACCTGCCTCTTTCAGGGTAACTTCAAATGGACTTTTCCATGAGGAGAGGTTAGTTTACGTTTCCACAAGCTCAATGATACCTTTTGTGAGTCAGTCCTTATACCAGAGGAAAATTCTCACCCACAGAATTTTTTTATTTTTTGGCCAAACTGCAGTTGGCAGATTTAATAATCACTCTGCAGATTGTCATAGCACAAGCATCTAGAGGAAGGGACCACAGGTGGGGTGATTCATAAAGAAGACCTGTCACAGTTTGTGGGCGAGGGCCTGTACTGCTCCACTTAGGCTGCTAGAACAAAACACCAGTGACTGGGCAGCTTACACAGCGACATCTATTTCTCACAGTTCTAGAGACTGGAAAGTCTAAGACCAAGGCACGGGCAGATGAGGCTCCTGGGGAGGCCTCTCTTCCCAGAGGCTGCCTTCTTGCTGTGTCCTCACAAGGGGACGGAGGACAGAGAGAGATGAAGAGAGGGGCGGGGGAGAGAGATGTAGGTGGGGGCAGGGGAAGAAAGAGAGGGACAAAGAGGGGGAAGGGGAGAGAGGTAGAGAGAACTCTGGGTTCTTCAGGGGAGGCTAAAGTTGGGCATAAAGGGGAGGGCATATTCTGGTTTACCTTCCTTTTCTTGTAAAGTCGCTCATTCCATCATGAGGGTTCTACCCTGATGACCTCATCTAACCCTAATACCCAAATACTACCACACTGGGTGTTAAGATGTCAACGTCTTAATTGGGGGTGGGGGTGGGGGTGGGGGGTGGGAGGGAGTATGAGCATTCAGCTTATGACAGGGTCATGTATCACTGTGATGAGGTCTGGCCACTCTCTACTCCCCTCCGGATCTAATGCTGGGAGGCCTGGTGGGGAGGCCTGACTGCAAAGGAGCAGAGTCTGAAGAAAAAGCAGGGACTGAGCTCCTCCTCTGCTTCTGCTGCTCTTGACTTGCTCTGAACCCAGGGAGGCCTCACAGAAGGCACCACTCTATGGGAGTCCCAGGGGATTTTCTCAGCTGAGTGAATTGCCCTTCAGGCCTTAGTAACTGGGAACACAAAAAAATCTTTTGCTGTCATTGTTAAGTAATTTTTCCTCACTTGATACCTGGAAAAGAAGAATTTCCTTTTAATCTGAGCATTTTATTTCTAAAAGTTGGAAAGCATCTCAGGATAGCTTATGGAAAACGCTGGGTAATAGGTGGTGCACGAAAGGAATTTCACATTGAAGCTACGTTCCTTAGATTAAAATGCAAGGGAACTGTTTAGAGAGAAGCAGACACTGTAGATAGAGTTTGGCAGACAAGAGGTTTCTCACTAATAAGGCTAACAGTTTAGAGGAGAATGTCATCAATTGTAATATAAGTTTACTTTTCATTTAATGAATTTTAATGGCAGCTTTCACCATTACCTCCAGGAATCCACAAGAAATAGAAAAACCTGCCTGGAAACTTAGTTGATAATCGCTAAAGCAAAGTCTCTGGCATTATCTCAGCTCCATTTCTAGAACACATTATTTTCTCACAAAGCATTTTAAATATAGCACAAGAAATATTCATCATATTGCTTGTACTCCCTGCAACCTGAATGCAGACTCTCTTGGAGAAGTCTTATTTTTTTTGCATATCTTATTTTGTTATTCAAATGATGAAGCATATTTTGCATGAAGTTACACCTTTTTAGAGGCAGATTTTGTTCTGGAAAATTGGTGCCGCATTTCTATTTCTCACATCTTTACATAACTGGTTTCTTGTCAGAAGATGTAACTGTGTTTGACAACCCCGCCCTGTAATCGCATCCCTGCAGGGAGTGGGCTTCAGGGCATTTCTGTATCTCTTTAATGAGGAGGATGTACAAACCCCAGGATGAAGGTTAAAATGGACAGGCATTTCTCAAGATCTTGACTCTTTCTTTCATCCAGTTTGGATTCAAAACACAGACCCTTGTCCTCTGAGAGTCAACTTTGTCCTCAACTTAACCTTCGGATTTAAACCTGACTGGATTCCTAAAAGGGTGTGCTCCTCGTTGGCCAAGACAGAGAGAGTGTCTGCGTTCCCGTTCCCCCACAGCTGGCACTGACCCAGCTCACCTGACTGGAGAGCTTCAGTGGGGAGAAGAGGAAACACTGAAGCTTTCTTTTCTGTTCTCTTTTTTAAATGGAGTTTTTGACAGTCTAAGGTGACATTTTGCTCTCATCATTATCAAACACCAAAATCTCTGGACTGCAAGTCAGGTGCCTTTTAGAGAGGCCTGCTGCACAATTCCTTGCACAGGCATCACCTGTTTATCTCCGCGCACAAGCAAGCTCTAGCCCCAGTTCTCACAGTGATCCCACCTGTCCCTTCTAACCAGTACTGCACAACTGTAGGCGGCATTATTCCCTCTGTTTGTAGAAATGGTACCCCTGGGGCTATGTAAGTGGTACCCCCAGGGTAACCCTGCAGGCTACAATAAAGCCAGGTTAGTCACATTATTAAGTAAGAACACTTCCTACCAAAATCTTTGTGATTCCATGCATTGTAGATTTCACTGACCTTGAGTAAATGGCTCCTCAGTTTCTTCTCTAAAGCTCAAGCTACACCTCTGGGTGCTGCCTAAAACTCCATTATTTTTGGTTTTAGTTTTTTGTATTTGCTATATCAAGTGATCACAAATGTAATGGGTTGATGTAAATGTATTACCTCACAGTCCTTTAAGTCAGGTTGAGAATGAGTCTCACCAGGCTAAGATGTAGGTGCTGGCAGGCTGATGCTCTCCACTTGCGTTCCGGGAGGATCCATTTTCTTGATCATGCAGGAGTTGGCAGAGTTCAGCTCTAAGCTATGGTAGCCTGCGAGCTCTAGCTCTGTGCTGGCTGCCTGCTCCTACAGGCTTCCTCCCGTCCTTGCACACAGATCCCTCTACCTGAGAGCAGCAGTGGAGCAGCCAATCCTCATGCCGCCATTGCTCTTCTGCTAATGAATCTCTCCTTCATCCCAGCCAGGAGAGTTCTCTGCTTTAAAGAGCCACGAGAGTGAGTGGATTGGACTCATCTGGATAGCCCAAAATAATCTCCCCATTTCAATCTCATCTTGGTCACATCAGGAAATTTCCTTTTTGCAAGTAGCATGATTTATTCACAGGTTCCTAGGATCAAGATGAGGACCTGTTTGGGGGACCATTCTGTTTATCATATTCTTGACTTAATTTCTTTGCCTCTTTGAAAGATTAAACATTAAATCTAACTATGTTTTGAAAGCCTACTGTGTTTTAGACACTATTAGCTGACTGTTAATGTTTGTCTCTATCCATAGACATTTTTTACACATTTAATCCTTTTGATGACCCCAGAAGATATTATCAGTGTTAGCTAAGAATGCAATCAGTTGCAGGTAGTAGAAACCCAACCAACACTGATTCACTTGTTTTTAAAAGAGCAAGAGAGCAGCTCAGTGATGCTATCAGGATCCCAGACTCTTCTCTATCTTTGCTGAGAGGGAAGATACTCTCCTAGTTAATAGCATGCCCCCTGCAGCCTTTGTGTGTAGTAGGTTCATATAAACAACATCCTCTATTGACAGGGATAATAATATACTCAATCGATGGAGCTAGTGGAGTAAGTGAGTTAATACATTTCAGGTGCTCAGAACCATAGCTGGTTGATTTGAATGCTCGGCAACTGGTGGCTATTTTAATTGTTAGTTTTGCTTCACATCCTTAGCACTCTGGGTTTGACCTTATCTCTTCATGCTTGTTACCTCATGGTCACAAGGTGGTTGCCAATTGTCTAGTTATGACATTGAGGTCCCAGGCAGAAAAGAGAAGAGACAAATAAGGGAGAAGGGGGCAGGTCTGCTATTTATAACAGGCAACCAAACACTTCCCAGAAATCCCTACTCACCTGCTCTTGCTTCCTGGCCAGAACAGTGACCCATACTACCTTTCCTATGGTGAAGAAGTGTCTGGGAAAACATGTTTTCATATAAAGAGGAATCTGGATGGGCAAGCTGAATTCCCCCATCCCTTGCTCACTTTCCCTGTGTCTGCCAAGAAAACTGTGGCCTTTTCAGTAAAGAAAGAAAAAAGAAGTGGAACTTAGGAAGCCACTGGCAGGGGCTATGCCTCAGTTGTTGGTGACTCAGAGTTCATGAGTCTCCACGGCACACTGGGTAGAGATTTGATGGGAAGCTAATAGATGCAGAGATGGGGGAGAGCTTCTTGGTTTCATTGTGTCACCCCAAAGATATGTTCAAGGCTAAAACCCTGGTACTTGTAAATTGGACCTTATTTGGAGATATAATCAGATTAAGATGAGGTCATACTAGATGAGGTATGGCCCTAATCCAATGCTTGGCATCTTTATAAGAGGAAGGAAGCTTGGGCACACAGATGCTTAGGTAGGATGCTTTGTGATGATGGGGATAGAAACTGAGCTCTAATGCTGACGTGATTCTAACTCTGAGCAAAGAAAAGCTTCCATTTGGTACTCTTCATACTTGGGTGAGATCTCCCTGGCAGGAGAATCAGTCAAATCACCCTGTAGTCACCCATTACTCGGGGGAGAGCAAAAAAGAAAGCCATAGTTAGGTGGCAGAACTCCAGCCAGGAGCAAGGAGGCTTTGGGGGCCAGGCAAGATCCCTTCTGGGGAAACCTACATGGTCAGCACAATCTGTGTCTCAGAACATTCTGTTTTCATTTAATTCCTTTATTGCTGAGTCCTAAGTTTTACTCAAACAGCTTGCATCCTCCAGAAGTCGGCCTGCTGTCTGGAATCCTCAAAGATTCTCGGGCATCTCTCCACTGACATAGCTTAGTGTTTCGCAACTTCAATTTGATTTCAGTGTGATTGTTACTGTATCCATAGGTACCATTATTTACTTAGTATTTACTTAAACATTTTTATTTTTAATCAAAATTTACTTCACTAATGTAAATGGAAAAGTCAGGATCATTTTGTCCTAAATAGGAGACAATTATACAATTAATTCAAAGAAAGCAAAACAAATTTATTGCAGTCAAGCTACAGCCTGCAGAAGTTGGAGGCCTGCCTCCCTTCATAAGAGAGATTAGCAAATTGTAGAGGAGTGTTGAAGCTAGATTATACCGATCAAGTCTTCCTTCTTCTTGAAGGAAGTAGAGAATTGGAAATGAAATGATGTTCTCATGGTGGTTGTGTGCAATGCTAATAAGGTCAGGTTTTTGGTGAAAGCCAGGGCAGATAGACTAAACATGCACGTGTAATCCTTACACCAGCCTGTGGTGTCAGTATGATCATTAATGCCATGGGTAGCTGAAACTAAGGGATGGTGTAGGGTAAGGAAAAATGTCAGGCTTTTCCGCCCTCCCACCATCCGGATAGATGATGGATCCTTGTCCTGAATGCATGCCTGATGGCGGGCACCTGGAATAGGGTGTGGGCATAGGTAGATGTGATTCACCTGGGGCTAAGACTGGGCTTTTAAGGGTGGGGTCACGGGGATGCCAGCAGCAGCAGCAGCAGCAGCAGTAGCAGCAGCCGAAAGAGAAGCCAAGAAGCAGCAGAACGAACTCCAGAGAGACCAGATAAAGTGAAGACTTGCTGGGGGGCTGGGAGGCTGGCAGCCTCCCAGCCCCCCAGCCAGCACCCCTGCCTGCCATATGCCTGGTGAACCCCAATAAAAAACCTGCAAAAACCCACTAAGGACTCTGACTCCTCCTTTACCCGGTCTGCATGGGATCAGAGAACCTGCACTATGTCCGCTCCTGCCTTTACAGATGGTTAGTAACTAGCTGGTCACTCATCCTGTCCATGCCAGAGCCGCCTCCAACCCACCCACCACAGTGCCTGCCTCTAGATGACTTATCCCCCCATAGACAACTGGGGGAGGGAGGAGGGTGGTCTAGTAGGTTTCACACCCCAACCTTGGCCCAGCCTGACTGGGCCTTATCCACCCCACTCCAATGAGTTCGTTGAGCGTGGGGGCGGGGGGTGGGCAGGGTGACCGTATGGGATCCCAGTGACAGCAGCAGTAAAGTCTTAGTGAAGAAAACTCTAGAGGGCACTGGGGCCAAGATGAAGAAGGAATGGAGATGTCAGGTGCCTGGGAGAGAGCTCACTGCTTCACAAGAGAACATGGCTCGCACTTGAAGTCAAGAGCATTCAAATTCTGGCCACCACCCTCCCCCTTGGGTGGCACCGGTTTGGCTTGTGTGTTGAGGAAGGGGAATGATACCTCAGTAGAAGCAAAGTTCATGTTATGAGATAAAATCCCATTTCACACCCCCAGTACATATAAGTCAGTTCACCTTCATAGTCACAGCGCTTTGCTCCACCATGGAGATGGGGAGAGGGTAGGGGTGGGGGGCTGCATCCTGAGCTGCCTTTTGCAAAAACAAGAGAGCAGGGGCCTTTGAAAGTGGGTGCCAAAGTGAGGTGGCCACACCTCTGAGAGGCTTCCCCTTTAAAACCTGATTAAAAAAAAAAGTTCCCGAAGAGGCCTAGCCTCAGGCCAAACCCCATAACAGGGCAAAGGTCAGAGAGTGTGAGGAGGAAAAGGGAGGTTGAAAGGCCACCTGGAAAGCAGGCCTGTGCCTGGGTCTCCAACCCTCACCCCCATGGGCTACCTCTAACCTGGGGGGTCCTAAGCAGAAGCCTCACTTCACAAGTCACCCAGAATGCTGCTTATCAAAGGGATTTTGACTCCTAGGTGGTGGAGCTGTTGGGAGCTCAGAACTGGGGAGGTATAATAGGACCAAAAGCTGCTTTAATAAAGCACGGGGCGGGTTGGAGCCACACTCTCCATAAATCAAAGGGCGACACTAGGGCTCTCTGTGAAGATCAGTAAGACAGCGCATTGTGGGGCTGGGGAGGCTCTTAAATCTAATCGAAGGCTCTTTGAGCAAAAATACAGCCGTGACTGGAGGACAGAGGTGGCTGCACGCTGGAAAAATATCCTAAGGAGCACGCACATTTCCCAGGTGATAAGAATGCTGAATGGTTCTGAGCTGAGAAACCTTGGAAAACAATTAGCCAGAGAAGCAAGATAACCTGTTGAAATTATGGCTCTGCAGTTTACAGCTCTTAATAAATTTCCTGGCAGCCTCTCTCCAGCTCAGGCCCTGGTCTGCTTATACCTTTAATAGTTGAGGGAATTAAGTCATCAAAGTTTCATCTACCTGTCTGATTCCAGCCAGAAGTACAACTTATTTGCCTGGATACCTTTCAAAACTGCTGTCTACATAGATTATAATTTAATATATAGTGGAACTAACACAAGGCTGCCTGTTTCTTGAGTTTAAAATGTCAAAATCTGCATTTACACATTCTGAATTTTCTTCAACATTGCACACACTTTAAATAGTAATCACAAGGTAAGCTATGTAGAATTAAAAGAAATTGCACTGAGATTTACTTTTAATCTTCACTGTTCATTGCTGGAACAAAAAGTACAGGCTGCCACTTTACCAGCAGCAGCTGGTCCTTATTCTCTTGGAATCCTAGTTTTCTCATCTGTAAAATGGGGTTAATGCTTGCCTTGTTGGTATAAAGGAAACATTAGATAACTGTAGGGAAAGTATCCAGTATAATTCCTATATATTCAATACATATTTGTTCTCCCCTAGCTAAGTAAGGGGTGATGACTTGATGAATTTTTCCAGTTCAACTTGCATAGTGCTTTCATCTGGACCAGTTAAATTTAAACACCCATTGTGTGAGCTCTTCCCAACAGCCAGGACCCTGGAATCCCTAAGTAACTTATTCTTGTTGGGTCTCAAATTCCAAGGACAAGTTACTTAATTCATTTAAGCCTGTTTTCCCATAGATTTTTGAGGATTAAAGGGGATAAATTATGAAAAACACTTAGGCCGGTATCTGGTGATTGTTAAGCACTGAGGATTGTTAGTGGTTATTATTAACCTACCTTCCCACCCCTATCACACAACCTATCCTCCTCTTTGCCTCACTTCATAGGCACTTGCAGATTTCCTATCTCTGTGTGGGCGCTTGTGTTCTGTTATCTGGAAAGTCAATAACCTTTTCTATTTGGCCTGTTTACATTCTTCCCATCCTTTAAGGCCATTTCACATGTCACATCATCCATAAGACTTCCCTGATCCCTTCTACACCCAAAGTCCAAAGTCAGGTTTCCCTGGTACCTCCATCCAGAACTTACCAGTTCAGTCATGAATTTTGGTTCTTTGTGGACCTGTTTTCCTTTCTTGCTCAACTGTTAGGTCCTGAGGGCAGAAGTCAAGATTCACCCATGTTTGGGAGCTTCTGCAGCATTTTACTGTGTCTGAGATGAAAAATCTGTTGGGCTACAACTGGATCTCATTTTACTTTTGTATTTCTTAGATGGACTGTGCCGAAGACCTATGGGACAAAGGCTGTTAAAGTCATTGACACAATATTTCTATGGTGTTACACATTCATCGTTATGCTGCAAACATAGATCTTTGGGCTTGCGTGGGGAGTCACAACAAATCAAATAAAGTCTCGAGTTGAATCTTAGGTGTTGATCACTGAAGACTCTCTCCTCTTCCAGAAGACTTGGGCTATCTTTAACCATGACTGATGATCTTGGAGAATCCTGTGATTAGGAAGGTATAAGCATGATGCCCACTGATCACATTGCAAGGCTGACAGTCCGCTCCAGAGCTAGTCTGTTGAGCCAGGAACAGAGCACTTTCTCAAAAATCACAAATGAATCCAGGAAGTTCAGCTTTCTCTTTCCCTGTGTGGCCCTGACTTACCTGGTTGGCTTCTTCATGCCTCAGTTTCTTCAGCTGTAAAATAAGTATGAGCCTACTGCTCTTTGATGATATAAGAAGCAAAAAATACTGTGCTCATGAAACATTCAGCATGTATTGTAAACAATAGTTATGGGGAACAAACATGGCTACAGAAAAGAAATCTCAGTTGTCAGGATCCTTACAAAATAATCTCTAGTTCTTCTGGCTATGCCTAAATAGCATTCATTAAATCTTTATTTTAGTACCATTGTATGCAGGACTCAGTTTCCTTATAGAAAGTCAGGGAACCATCCACCTCTCCCACCTACAGTTGTTGAAAGGAACGAGTCATACAAGTGATTGCAAAGCACTTGCCTAAAATCCAAGGAATTATACAATAATAATAGTAATCATCTGTCACTAAAAGTATTTCCATCTTCGTGGGCTGTAAGTAATACATTTTCTCTTTACTTAGTCTCTCTTTACTCTCTAAATAACGCATTACCCATTGCATTTACAATCTCTGAGCTTGCTTCATGTTTTAAATTAGAATCCAGCTTGCCCAAGTGAGCTAACACCTTTCACCTCAGTAATAACACCAGGTGATCTTTAACAACAGGACTTGGAGATTTATGGTTTGGACTGAGAGGTGGGACGTCAGCAGTGCAGCAATTCAGAAAAGGCATCCTCACACCTCATTCCATCATGGATTCAACATATATTTCTTGAGCCTAGAGTCAGGTCCAGGCAAGGTGTCACAAACTCGACACTGCTTAGAAGACCACACAGTCCTGGAGACTAATCATTGTAATAGAGGTAATAAAAGTTTTATTGAGGGTCTGCAAAAAGTATCTCAGTAACATAGAGGATGGAGTTACCCCCTCTGCCTCAGGAGAGCTGCTGAAGGGGAGTTGGGGCTTGGGTTTAGTTGCAGATAATCAAGTCCCTTCCAGCCAGTTTAAACAGAAAGGGATTTAGTGTGGGGAGTTAGGTATTTGCTGGAGGAGCAGGCTCCAGGCAGGGCTTGCAGGAATAAATCTCAGCACATTACACCCTTTCCTTCAAGGGAGGGAGAGGCTACCCTGTGTAATCAGGAAAAAGTCAAATACCCCAAATGTTGGCAACAGAGCAAGCCGTGTCAGCTGTGACCCTCACACAGACTCTTGCCCACCAGGAAGCTAGAGCCTGGAAACTTCTGGAGTAACAGGAAATGCGTCCTATATTGGTTACTATGAAGCAGCCTGGGCCTCACTTCTGTCTTCTGGAGCGTTTGGTCTGATAGATAGAAGCTGGATCTTGTGTGGAAGCACAGCTGTGAAGAAATCTGGGAAAAGTGGTTTCCAGCATTAGCCCTCCGGCCTGCAGTAATCCCTGCTACTGGAGGGTGGGATGGATAAAAGGCATTTTGAGCAGGTCAGCTAAGCTTATTGTTTATTGCCATGGTACAGAGCTGCGAAATGCATGCCGAATTCAAATAAATACAAGCAATTTGAAATAACACGAGTAGAGATGTAAACCCAGGAATAACACTGCGCGAGCAGGGAGAGGCACAGAGGCTTGGTTATGTAGGGCTTAGGAATTTAGACTTTAAGCTCTAATAGGGAGCCACTGAAAGGCTTAAGGAATGAGTGTGTGGATGTGCGTGTGAGGTTGTGAATGGGGGTAAGGATTCATTTTCCTTGACTGCTGAGCAGCTGTGTATGTTAGATGCAGCGGTTTGTTGATAGATGTTTAACAACTGGCTCTCCAGAGGAAAAAGTGTGCTGATTTGTAGGGTCTATCAATGTCTGTGTTATAAATGCTCCCAACTTGGCCTGTGTCAAGTTACCAACATGACATCACGGAGCATGGAACTGGGAAGAGATGTGGACATTTGGCACTTGGAAGTGGGTTCTTGGAGTTCTGACTCCAGAACACCTACGAATGTCATGTGACTTCATTCTCAAAACAAGATAGATAGTTGTTTCATGTCACAAATGCTGACATTGAGGCTTAGCGAGATAGATACTTTCTCCAAGGTTATGCAACTAATTAGTGGTCAAACCTTGTTTTAGACCCAAGCCTGCCTGCTTTCAAAGCCGTTGCCTTTCAGCAAGACAATGTTGCCTTGAATAGAGTAAAATGGCTAGATCTCCATTTCAGGAAATTCCTCTGGCTGGATAGAGGGAGAGGTTGATATTATGGCATGAAGGAGTTCTAAACCATATATAAATTTATATTCTAGACTATGGATAAATGAGTCAGTGTATATGTGTTCCAAAAAAAATTTATTTACCCAAGCAGGCAGTGGGTCTGTGTAGTATAGAGGTCGTTTATAAGGAAGCAGGGTCAGAGATAGGTGATTGTATTGACGCTTCATAAAGATACTTGGGGGGAAGTGATGAGGGTTAGTCAAGGCATGGCAGGGTGTCAGGAAGCGTGAACATGGCTGACAGAATAGCTGACCTTCCATCACTTCAGGTGGGGATGAGTTGGGGAAGGAGCAGAGTTACAGGTGGGAAGGCAAGGATGATTTCTAGATTTGCAATTGTGAATATGTGGTGCCATTGGCCAGATGGAATCACAAGAAGCAGGTTTCCTTAGAGAAAGCTTGTTTTTAATTTGGGTATGTTGAGTTCAAAGGGTCTATGGGAAGTCCAGGTGGGGATGTAGGAGATGGAAATGCATGTGTTCAGGAGGCAGGTCTGAGTGGGAGATTGTGGGCAGCTCTGTCCAGAGATGGCAGCTGAAATTCTGGCTGTGGGCGACCTTGGAAGAGAGAGTGTGAGAGGTCTGAGAATAAGCCAATAAAGGACTTTGGGAAACACAGAATAGTCTCAAGGAGAAGGGAGAATCATGTTTCTCTAGAACAGGTAAGAGTGTTTCCAGGATGAAAGAGTTCACAGTGTTTGGCTCTGTGAGGCACTGCCCAGATCCCACTTCAGGAATGAAGGGCTGTTTTTCTAGCCACTCTGAATACCCCCAGAACTGGCCCCAGCTCTCAGCCCCCTGGGGGCTTGCCTCTCCTAAAGGAAACTGCCTGGGGCTCACCTTCCAGGGGTGGCTCACATCCCTGTGCAGAAGTAGAAGGGCCCAGCTCCCTTGTCCCAACTGAAGGGCTGCTGTAGCTCCAATTTCCCTTGTGGTGTTGGCTGAGGCCTAAGTTGGGAGCACATCACAACTCCCCCAGTTTCTCCTGCCCAGTCCTGCTTCCTTCCTCTGTCTTCTGCAGGTACTAAGTCCAGGCACGCCCCAACAAGCATCGTGCAGGCTCATCTCTGTCTCAGCATCCGCTTCTTGGGAATCCCACATGTAGCAGAGGCTCTTCCCTCACGTCCTCGGCCCTGTGACATTGCTATTCAAGGGTGAGCTGGGCCAAGTCAATCTCTTCCTTCATTAAATTAAAAAAAAAAAAAAATCAGTGGTGGGTGAAAACCAAGACTCCGGTGACTTACTGACTGAATAAAGCTTTATTTCAATGAAAAATAAAACCAGAAAAATTTATATATTCATATATAACAACATCCAAAATGTTTTCTGTGGTACAAATGGGACATCCTAAAAAGTTCACCTTATATGCCAAAATAGGATTTCACATAATTTATCTTCAGAATCTATGAACAGACTGGGTATCACAAAAGCACTGGAAAACACTGGAAATAGTGACCATATAAACAGCAGGTTTTGTTTTGCTGTTTCAGGAGTAAGCAACACTGTAGTCAGCTTAGATGGAACAGAACACTCTGCGAAAAAGCCCAGTCAAGAGACAGTCTTAAGGTTAGTTCACTCTTCACTCAGGGTTGGTAGTTAAGCTCGCCTTAAAAGTCAGGGTGAGTGTGAGTCTATTACTATTAAAAGACATGGAGGAGAAAGAGTTTCACTTAGAAGTGGTAGCTGCATATGAGATTCTGTCTTACTTTAGATATCTGACTCTCATGCTCCTTTTTATCAGGCAGCTGACTTTATAGGGACAGCTCATGGAGACTCCTCTTTCTGGTCTCATTGTAGTTATCATTTTCACCTAAATTGGTGCTGAATTCGGAGTGCAGAGAAATGCTACCGAATTCAACTCCCTTCTGCCTAATTGCACTAAATCTTGACTTTCTGTTGCTCCTGGACTCAGAAAGCAGGAGGGCGTCTAACCAATTTAGCACTGATTTGAGTCTGTTCATTGTGGATTTCAGAGTTTAATGCCAATGGGGACTGTACAGACACACATGCTTATTCATACCAAACTTTTCAGAGCACTCTAGCTCCCTGGAAATGCTAAGATGTTTTTCCAAATAAAATGAATGTTATGGCTACAGTTTAGCAGAATAAACATGCTTTCAAGGTTTGATCTCTCTGCATACTAGCTCCATGACTGACAACTCCTCAAGTTGTCAGTTGTATTTCCTTCAGAAGCTTGGTTTAGTCCAGGAAGTTCAAGAATCTGGATTAATGAATCATCTTTTAATTTTACTTAGATGGTGGCAAATATAAAGCTACAATGAGGTCTCAAATATCAGTGTGAAGACTTCCCTCCATGGGTCTGTGGATCTCACCACAATCTTGTTATATCTGCTCCACGTTGTCCTGTGGGTGTCAATGCACGTAGATCTAAAAACTAAGAATAATGAGTTTCACAGTAGTTTTTTCCTATTTTTTGTTAGTTACTCAGTCACGATTTAAGAAAATGTTCCTTTGAGTTGCTTTTCATTGCTATTACAGGGAAGCAGTGCTATTGTTAGAGCACAGTGGCTAGGTTGGGCTTCTCTCCCTTGCAGAGCTCTGAGCTCTCTTGCATGTGAAAGTTTTAGGTGGCCTCCAACCTTCAGCTCTGTACTCCTGCAGAAGGGGACAAAACCAGAGCTCCTTAAAATTCTATTGACTTGCGGCCAAAACATCATTAGGAGCCTCTGTGATGGCTTGGCCATGTCCAGTCAGGTCAGCAAGCAGGGGAATGCGTTGTTGGATCTACAGCTCCCTGTGCCACTCTGTTCCTCTGAGACAGTTAGTATCCTGAGCTACAGGGGCACACTCAATTGAGGTTTTCGAAAGTCATAAATGAATTGGGAACTTATTCCCTGCTGGGCACCTGCTGGTCTTCTAAATACTCTAAACCACCTGTTCTCCTAAAATACTTGGAAGAGATCTGTAACCTCCGGGTGGCGATGAGCGGAGGGTTGGTACGCGGACACGTATAGAGCTTACGTATGAGCCATTCTTAATGGTTGCTGGGCTTGATGGAGCCGCATCACACGTATCAGCTTGGTTTCTTTCAGGCAGGGTCAAAGGGGGCATGTGTTATACTTCAAGCAACAAAAGCACACTGCTGTCATCGATTTGGTGCCTCCTTTAATGCCCCCAGGATTGGCACTGCTTCATTGGCTGGGTGTACAATACAAAATCACACTTCCAGCAGCTGGTCCCCAGCCTGTGTGTGGAGGTGCTGTGCTCTTTCAGGTGCCCGTTATGGTGACAACAGAGGCATTCTCTCCTGGGGCCATTCTTCTCCCACACGCAGAGTGTCTCACCTCCCACTACGCCTCCTGGCTGTCCCTGTGTGGCCTTGGCCTTCATCCAGAAGGAGCCTCTGACTTGGCTGGGTCAGATAATCTACAGAAATTTGGTTGAACTGTGGTTCATACTGAAGAACTGATTTTTAATTCTTCAAAAGAAGTTATGTTTTCCCACCTGATGGCTTTCTTCTCAAAGGTTCTTTTTTAGTTTGAGGGGAATGCAGCTTTCAGCATGTTGGCCAGGAACCCCTATAGCTCACCTGAACGCCACCTTTGGATAAGCACGGTCTGGCATCCTCAACTTTTTTCACAAATTGCAAACAGTCTAAAGGTATCTGGCTTTGGAGAGATGACAGGACAAAAACCAACTTGACAGTCAATTTTCAAGAGGGCCGTAAGTAAATTGTAGACTAGAAAATGATACCTCTTAAAGTCCAGTAAATGACATGATTTAAGTCTAAAACCAGCAGTTTCTTCATTCTTGGTAACAGAACTCTCTTTTAAATTAAAAAATAAGACAAAACTAGATACTGCGTGGATGCTATGCATTCAATAATACTATAATTTGTTAAATCTTGACAAACAGGTATTCTAATCCCAGTTAAAATATGTCTACATTGAACTGAAAATTCTTTCTTTCTTTTTTGGGGAGAGGGATTGAAACACAAATGTGAAAAGGCTTAAAGTATTTCAAGGGTCACTGAGTGATTCAAACTGCTGCCCCCAGGTTTGGTGTTTCCTGGTCTCTTGTTTTGTGTTCTCGTTTGGGTCAGATTATAAATTATAGAAGTTCTGTAAAATAAGTAGAAAAAACTGCAAAGCTCAAAAGAAATTGTGATGGGTTTTGGAAGGTGGGGTTTCAGCTTTTCAAAGCTCTGTCATCTTCTCAACTGCAGACCTGGCCATTGGTAATGCCCTGACTTTTCTTAAATACAGCAGATAAAGAATGAGTTAGTTTCATATTTCTTCTCCCTCCCTCTGTTTTATTTTTTAAATTCCCTTCCTCCTCAAACTTTCCAGAAAGCTTTTCATCTTCCATTCTCCATACTGGCAACCACATGTATACACACACATACACACACACACACATCCCACACGACCTCTGCCCTCTACTACCTGCTGGTGATCAATCTCCAGAGGCCACAGTCAGCCCCTCCCTGTCCCCAAGTGCAGATGGCACTGCTTGGCACTGAGTCTGGAACTGACACCTCCAGAGCATGGCTTCCTGTGTGACCTACCCAGAGGGCCCTCTTTTTCCCAATTACGTTTTAGCCTTCCACTGGGAGCCTAAAGTCAAGCCCCCAGTTATGGTAATTACAGGCAGATTTGGGGATGACTCTGAAACCAGGTATGTCCAAGCTCTTGTGCCTGGAACATGGAGGGAGGACGGTGAGGAGGACCCAGGGAGTTTCAGCTCTCTTCGCCTGATCACCTTGGTCCTTGAAACAGATTCCTTCTGGAAACTGACTAGCTTTGCACATTCTCCCAGGATGCTAATACTGCATTTGCATCTTGCTTTTATATAAAAATGGAAGAAATATGGGAAATGCATATATCAAATCTGTGGTCTGGGAACCTGAGAAATTTTATAAATAAAGATATGTCATCTTCCTTCGGGTACAAGATATTTCAAAGAGCTCACTAGTCATGTTTGCTGTTGTTTTTTCCTTTTTCTCAATGAAAAAAACGACTCACTTAAGATGCCCATGTTTGCAGGCACTTTTCACATTTAACAACTCGTAAGGTGGCTGGAGCTCAGCCTGAGAGTGGATGATGATTCGGGCAGAGACTATCCGTGCTGCCCCTTCTGCAGGGTGTGGCAGGTGATCTAGCCGGGGAGGCACCCGGGGTAGAGTTCCATTGTTATTTGCCTTTTCAACTACCATTTTCACTGAGTGGAACAATGCTAAACTTATATCAGATATCAGGCTGTTTTTATGACCAGATTTTTTCCTTCTGTATCCGCCCCTCCTCCATCCCAAATTCTAGTCCTTTCCTTTTCCCTCTGACTAGCAGTCAAACGCTGCAACCTTGGTGAGGAAATCCTAATCTGTACCACAAAGAATTCTTAACAGGAAGATAGCCCTAAGGTCCAGAATGGGCAAAGGCGATGCTAGACAGTGTCCTTTCTGGACTGTGTGGAGCTCGGCGGTGTTCAGCTATACGGCTGCGGTCATGGGGTTCTTCTGCCGGGGGTCCTGGCTTCGGTAGAGGTACCGGTCTGGGCTGCCCCCTCGGGGTCCTGGTCTGCCCATTTCTTGATAGGCTGGTACTCTGTGGTGCTGAGGAGGGGAAGGTGGAACATCTTGACGGAAGGGTCCTTTGTGCTGGGGGGCTGGCGGAGGTGGGTAGTACTGAGGATACCGGAGATCTGCCACCCTCAAATCTGGGGGGCGTGGATAGCTTCCTTTGGGAAGATGCATAGGATGAGCACCTGGATAATAGGGAAGCTCCCGTTCCTTGTAGAGTCCTCGAGGCGCTGCTGTCAGGTAGTCTACAGACTCTCCTGGGCCTCCCCTGGGAAGAGAACAGACACATCAATGGCTACTAGGCTGGCGGCTCAGTGCCAAACCACTTTCCTCAGCTTTCCATGAAGTGTGGCCATAGCCTAGGTCTGGCCAGTGGGGTGAGAGCAGAAGTGATATGTGCCCTCAAAAAGAGAGGGCAACTCTTTGGTCCCTAGAGAAGTCACTTTTGACCAAATGATATCTTAGAATATCATATGCTGAAAAAGGCAGAGCAGCCGGAAGGAAAGAGTCTGGGTTCTTGATGCCATGGAGCCAACATGTCATCTGGGACTGCTCACACTCAGATTGGTTCATGAGAGAGAAATATATTTCTGCCTTGTTTATACCCTCTGATGTTGGCTTAGATTACAGTAACCAAATTAGTTTTCTAAAGGAGGCAGAGTTCTACTCTCTTAAAGCTGGGATTATTTGCACCCCCCCCCCACACCCCTCTGTCTCACTGAGGACTGTCCCCCTTATAATGGTGGAAATGTACAGGTTATTCTGGATGATACAGCTTCCTATGACTTGTATTCACTTCTCTCCTAAGTCTGTGGACTGCTTTTTACATGGGTCACGGTCTTGGGGTCACTCTGGATGGCCTCTGTCACATCCCTGTGTGGAGTATTTTGCTCTCCCCTCTCTACAGTTCCTAGGAAGAGTCCCAACCCAGAGCTAGGAACTACCCATCTAGAATTTTGATATAAAGCAATTCTACTGCAGAGTCAAGAAATACCACCAGATCAGTAGCAGTGTAGGAAAAGGCAAACCAGCTGTGAGCTCCACTGTGTGACCAGTAGGCACACAGAGAGGCCCGGGACAAGAATAACACTAACAGAGAGTGACCCTGTCTGGATCTCTCTATGAAGACAGCAGGCATCTTCTGATCCATTTGCCATAACAGAAGCAATACGTCTCTAAACGTTGTACAGATGACCGCATCTTATCTAGCCTGAGGTTAAACACATGAGTTCTGTTTGCAGCTCTTAAAATCCCATAAACCTTCTGTGCACATATTCACCACCACCATCCTCAGATCATTTTTTACCACTCCCCCTTTGATTATTTTTTTTTTTTTAAAGAAAAACAGCAACAATAATAATTAATGAAAAGCTCTCCAACATCGGAGTACAAAACTGGTAGAACACTTGAAAGAAATGACAGGGCTGTAAGAACAGGGTGTCTGTGGTTAATCAAGCACTGTCAATGAGGGTCAAAATCACCCTGTAATCTGCAGAGTTTGATGTTAAAACAGCTCTGTAAGCTCCCCAATCAATGAAGGTTTGACAAGCTCCAAGCGAGGGTGCATGTGGAATGCAGCATATAACACATTCATAAGGATGAACAATGGAATTCTCTCTTTACATTTTATGTCTTAATTTGGCTATGCATAATAATGAAAGATAGATCCTTGAGCTTAGGGTAATTTGGTTAGTGAGAGTTTTCAGATAAAAAAATTAAATTGTTTGTGTACAAGTTATTACGGCATCAAGCGCTATTATTCAGTGCAGTGTGCTTCGCTCTATTTTAAATTACCCATGACAAATAGAGCACAAATACATAATCTGTCACTCCAGTCCTGGGAAATAAAAGATCGAGGTTTCACCTACTCTTCCCTTTAAATTTTAGTTTTGATTTAGAAAATGTCCAGCATTCATGATATTTTTATAGTAAAATTTTTAGTCTTCCCACCCCCATGTTCCTTTTTATTTCCTTTCAGTTCATGTTAGAGATTTCCGAAACACACAAAACAATCCTTAACCTGTGCTTTCTCTCCAAGCCTACTGAAGATATTTCTCTGCATGAAGTGAAACATGTGGTTTTTCTGCACTCATTTTAAGCCCTTGGGATAAATCACTGACATTTGCAACACACAAACATTATCTGCTTTAAAATGAACATACAACCAACGCTCCCTCTGGACCTTCTTAGCGTGAGTGTTTCCTGTTTAAAATGGAAAGAGAGAAAGGAGGAATTCCAGGCCTTGGACTTTTAGGGTCCTGTTCTCTCCCTGGAGATTTCTCTCTTTTAAAACAGAACATTATAATAGACAGGCTTGCCTTGGGTTTTTAAAAATTTTTAGAGAGACAGTCCAGATCAAGTGGTGATGGGGCAGAAGCCACCCTGCAAGGTGCTGTGTGTAGCTGGGGGGGCCTGGATCTCTCCCCCTACATTTCACCCCTGTGGCCTGTCTCCCTCTCCCTGCCAGAGGCAGGAGCTGTCCCTGGGCAGATGGGGCAGAACTCGTTAGTTTTGGGGTCCCATCTTCCTTCTTGTGAGGGCAAGGTTTTTAAGTCTGGGAGTTTGCTTACATGAGGCAGAAGCCAAAAGAGGTAGCTGTTCTTTGTCAAGAAATGAAATCATGGAAATCATCTTTTCCTGTAGAACTCATCATAACAGTTATCGTTTCAAATTTTTCATAGAGAAGGCAAACAATGAGCTAGACTATGAAAACACTGTTTAAGGTTCAAAGAGAGCTGGAAGAATTTTTCTTTCTTTGATGGGGCTGTTGCTTGTAAGAACTTTTTGCTCAAAATTGAATGTTTCCTTCAGACTTTCGTCAGGGCAAATTCTAAGTGGTTGTGAATGTATATGTTCACGTAGTTAAAAAGAACAACTTTTAAACAGGAGCATAAGCCTCCTCCTTATTAACTACAGAACTCTATATGGATAAAGGAAGAAAGAGGGAACTGAAATTTTAGCTTTGTTAATCTTGAGTTTTTTCTTTTTATAATTTCTTTATTTGGGTGAAATGTAGTATTTGTGGAAAAACATAAAACCAATTCATTCCAGGGTACAAAAAATGCTTCTCATAGTGACTGATGCTATACATATTTGAGTCAACTCTGAGAAAGCTGGAAAAGCCTCCTCTGGAGATTCTGAAAACAAGGATCCAAATGACAAATACATTGGGACTTCAAGACCCCTCATTTTGCATGTGACCTCTTGAGTTTTATTTGAATATGTTATTTTTTTCTTAGAAAAACCTTTCAACTGAATATCTAACTGAAAAACCATATTGACTTAAAGAGAAACCTATATTTGCTTTTTTATAATATAACTATTTGAGAAAGCTGTTATGAAAATATATTTTTAAAATTTCACTTTATTATTGATGAGACTCATTTCTGGAAGATAAAAGGAATTAGATTTTGTTGGAAAACTCACAGGAACTATCTCAGGAGTATAGTCTACAATCACAAACATGCAATAATGAAATTGATCCTTTAAGCTAACCATGACAAAATGATATGCTATTGCCATATGTACAGAAATAACAAGGATCACCTGAGATTTCCCTCTTTTGACATCTCAGTATGTCACTCTTCTTCATTAAACAAAAAGGGACTGAAAGTAAGACCAATAAGGCCAGATAATAGACCCTGGGCACCAAACATCATCTTTTTATGCAAGAATGGAAGGCATACTCTTACACTGGGTAAGATATTGAGTGGGGAAAGGGTTCAGTAATGGAAAGACTGGATCACTGGCAAGACTTTTTATCTAAGAATGAGGTGGCTCTACGTACTGGGCTAGATGAAGAAGCATGAAGAGTTGTGTCCTCCCATCTCCCCCTGCATTACTCCTTCTTCTCCCACCTCAATTATAAATAAAATCTCTTTCCCCTGAGCTCACCCAGTAGGTCATTCTCACCTCATATGTCTTTCACCCCGCCTCCTGGCTAGGTGTACACTGCACTGGAGCAAGAACATTTGGAAGGAAGGAGCTGAGTCTTATCTATCTAGTGATCTTCCTTGGAATTTAGCACAGGGCTTCCATGTCAAAGGTGCTCCATCAATATATGTTGAGTTTGTTGAAGAACATTTAAATTAAAGAGAAAACCCACAAACATACACAGTAACCATAGAGGGTCACTGTGTGTAGGGGCTGGAGGTAGGTAGATGGGTAGATGAATAAAGGAGAAAGCAGACTCTCATTGAAAGTTAGATATTGACAACAGTTGAGTAAGACTGGTCTCAGTTTTTAAAGAAGGAGGGAGGAAAGGAAGGCGAGATGGTGAGCTGAATAACAGTTGCATTGGGTTCAACTCAGAATGACTTGTAAATGTCATCAGGGCAGGGGTTATGACATTTGTCCTGCTTGCCCAGAACAGAAGCATGATGTCTTACCTCTGTTGTTTTGCATAGTGCTGGAAACACAGTAGGTGTTTAATAAATCTTGGACTTGATTTTAATTGTGTTGACTTACCAGTGAGGTCAACCAGGACTAACGGATGCATGTTAAGTATATTAAGTACAGTTAAGTGTGCTTATTAAAGAATCAGTTAAGGGCTATTTCTGTCATGGTCCAGCAAGGAAAATTTGTTTCTGTCATAAAAACTTCTTAATATATGCTTACCATGAAGTTTAAAAAATACAGTGCATGAAGTTTTAACTAAAGGGCTGTAAGGAGACCATGCCAAAGGTGAAGAGCAGGTGTGATCACCACAGTGTCAAGGAGGATTGATGAACACGAACCGGAGGTCAAGGAGATGTTCAGTTCCTCCTTGTCACAGCACTTCCCAACCTTTTTTCCACCAGAATTCACATGATTGATGACTTTCATATAAGACCACGTGCCTAGGAGAGGCAGAAGCTAGGAATATGCTAACTTCCTCACCACATGCTGTAACTCAAGGCCCTTCCCTCCCACTGAAGAAAGAACAAGGGGAGTCAAGTGAGTGGGGTGGGGGCGTTATTAAGGAAGAAACTTATATCTGCTATAATTTATTAAAATAAATCATTTATAATCTTTAGTTTTTCAAGAGTCATGGACAAATCCTTGCAATACAGAGCTGCTCACAATTCACCTATGTGTCCCAAGGCTGAGTATAAGAACCACTGCTGTATCTATCTGATGAGCTCCTTTTAGAGGGAAAAATGGCAGGCGAAGGTGAAGAAAAAGAAGGGAAAATCAACTAATATTGAGACACGTAAGCAACCAGAAAATAGTTTGTTTTGGGAGGAGATGAGTTTAGCAGGCATAAAAATAAGGTATGCAGTAAAAAGT